TAATGCGTATCCTGGTGGAATCCCAGAACAGAAAAAGGACATGAGAAAAAAGGTGAGAAACTCTAAATAAAGTATGGTCTTTCGATAACAATAATATATGAGTATTGGTTCTTTAACTGAGACATACAGACAATACTAACCCAAAATATTGCCCAGCCGGCATGGCTCAGTGACTGAGCGTCGACCTAGGATCCAGGAAATAGAGGCTCATTCCTGGTCAGGGCACATGCCCAGGTTGCGGGCTCCATCCCCAGTGGGGGGGCGTTAAGGAGGCAGCTGATGAATGACTCATCATTGATGTTTCTATCTCTCCCTCTCCCTTCCTCTCTCTGAAATCAATAAAGATATATTAATAAATAAATAAATAAATAAATAAATACAAAATATTAACAATAGGGGACTGGATATATTGTATACGAGAACTCTATATGAGCTTCACAATTAATCTGTAAAACTAAAATCTTTATTTTATTAAAATGACATCCAAAAACTAATAAAGTTGGCCTTAGAAATAAGGAAAGAAAGGAAGCAGGCAAATGATACTGATTTAAAGGAGAACAGATAGTCTCACCAACAGAATTTTAATGCTATCACCTTCATTCTAACATTCAGCTTCATTCATCTGAGCTCTCTGTCTTGCAGATTCTTCTGTCCTCAAGAATCCTGTTTCAAAATACTATAGAAAGTCTGGTACCTGGAGACTGTGTATAGAATAGTAATAGAGAGACTTGGGAGCTGGATTACTTTAGGCCAAATATCAGCTCCTAGCATATTCTAGCTGTATATTCTTAGGCAATTCACTTAACCTCTCTGTGCCTCAGCTTTCTCATATGTAACATGAGAATAATAACAATATCCCATAGAATTGTTGTGAGCATGAAATAAATTAATACATGTAAAGAACTAGAATAGAACCTGGCACGTTTGTGTTAATTGTTAACAATTTAATCAATTCTTTCATTCAACAAAAATGTGCCAACAACCAAGAAAAGTTATGAATTCTAAAGAGTAAGAACTCAAAGGAGGGTACATTAAATTCACCTTGGCCGGTAAAGGAAAACTAGGGTTTGTAAACGCAAGTAGAACAAAAATCTCCATCTCAGCTTACTTCATCAAATCAGACTAGGCTTATATAAAATGAAGACTAAAATTCTTCACGTCTAGTTCAATTTCTTCATCCTCAAACCTATACATTAATGTTGGAAAGGGCTGCATCACAACATCAATTCTAAGGTCTTCTGTGTAGAAATAACCTTCCAAGGGGTTCCTCAGTGTTCCCAGACACCTCCACATTTTTGCCTGCAGAGACGCTGACAAGGTTTTTCAAACTTGACTTGGCCTGCAGAAGTACTTCTACCAGCACTGAACAGGTCCCACCACCTCTCCCAGCCAAGCTCTTCCAGAGAAGCACTCTGACCAAAGAAAAGCATCCATAATGATGACTATAGGGCCTCTCTTCCAAATATTTATCTATTAATATGTCACAAAGTAGCCACAAAAGAAGCCAAGCCAAATAGCTTGGCCTTGACAGAAGGTTTCCTTTCCTTTTGAAAAAGGAAGAACAGCACTTTATTTGGCATCCCGTTCTGCACACTCCCCAAATGTTTTCTCAAGTAACAGAAATTTTAAAAACCTGTGTGTGTGTGTGTGTGTGTGTGTGTGTGTGTGTATGTTTTGGGAGGGGGTGCTAAAGTACAGCACTAACAAAAAAATGTTACATAAAGGAAAGTAGGAATTTTCTGAATTTGATAACAGACACTATAGACAAGAGGACAGAATCCATGTCCTGAGAAGATTTTTTCCATTAGGACACACTATTAGGCTATTCGCGTAAATCCAAAATATTAATCCCATTTCCTTAAGTAAAAACTAACATCACAAAATTTTCTAAATACTGAGTTTCTACAAAGAATAATAGTCTTTAAATACTTACTTGATAAATAAGGTAGGAAGTATGTAGGTTAATATTTTCCCCCAAGTAAATCCAACTAAATTACCTGGTTTGTGTTAATGTGAAATTATTCTTCACATTTAAAATCTTTTATGAATATACATTTTCAATAATTTCCAACTGGAGAGCAACAGAACAAGTACACAGTGGTTCAAAAGTAATTATTAAAAAGCAATTAAGATAATAGTGCAACAGCTTGACTACAGACTATGGTCTGAATTCCATTCTTTATGGAATATGAATTCACAAACAGTTTTGACATATTTACTACATAGCTCTTGAAACAATATTTATTTGCATTAAACCAAGAAGGGGTGCAGTGGCTCGGCTGGTTGTAGTGTCCTCCTGTACACCAAAAAGGTTGTGGGTTCAATTCCTGGTGAGGGCTCATACCTAGGTTTCAGGTTCCATCCCCAGTAGGGGAGCAAGCGGGAGGCAACCAACCAATGTTTCTCTCTCTCATCAGTGTTTTTCTCTTTCTCTCTCCCTCCCTCTCTCTCAAAAATCAGTAAACATATCCTTGAGTGAGGATAAAAAGAAACCACAATCTAAACTATGTCTGCAAAGTTAATTTTATTAAAAGTTATAGCTTTGTTGGTTACCTGAAGTATCAGTTTATAACCAAAATACACAATAATCACACAATTAAACAGAACTTAAATCATCATTCCAATTTAAAGTTAATGATTACCTTATATATAGCAGACTATATAATTCCACAAAGACTGAATACATTAGAAAAAGGTAACAGTGGAAAAATACTAGAAGAATAATACCAGTGAAGGAAGCCATTTGTGTCTAAAGCCAGGAGGGAGCATCACAGTAGACAGCTAAATTACACAATACTCCAAGTGGACATTCAAGCCTCTAAAAAAAGGAAGTTCAATAACAGAGATGTAAAATTGCTCTCCTATGGCTTTTAGCTATTTGATGAGTCAAATATTCATATCAAACTGTATTTTTTAATTTGAAAATCAAAAGGCGGATGACCTCCAAATTATAAACTGCATTTCCTTCTCTGACTTCACCACAATTTTGTGATAAGAGCAAGAGAAAGAGAACAGTATCAGGAAACAGAATGAAGGTCAAACCCGAGTTCATATAATTTACATATATATAAATTCTTTCCACTTCAATACTTTTAATTTACTAACTAACTTTTATCCACACTAGCTCAGTAAAGATTCCATAAAAATGGCATTTTAACTCCACCACTAGTAGAGGATATCAGTGATTGTGAGCTGGGATCTTAGACTTTGTACATCATACTGTTTATTTCTGTAGCCTGTTTTTGTACTCATTTGTAAAGTTGTGGATTTTTTTCTTAATTCACTTTATTAACAGTATTTGATATAATAAGCCCTGTGAAGTCAAATAGGTGTAAAAGAATGAGAGTCTTTAAAATGCTGGTGAAAAGAGAGAATTATGATGGATGCAAAAGTGGAGGATTGTTTTTTAAGTATTGAGAAAATATTAAATTTATTAAATTAAAAAATAAGAATGGCTTTGAAAGGCACTCACAAATCACTCAACATGTGACAAATGCTATGTAATTTTAAATAATGGGAGCTGAGGAAAAGCAATTGGTATAATGAAAAAACTTGCTGCCTAATGGTTCATCATGAACTCTCCATAATCCTTAGTCTACTGCTAACTGAGAAGATAAAAGTTCGTTGGAAAACAGAAGAGTTAAGGTGCTGATTAAGTATTTATTTCAATTCATGAATGATTCCATAGATTTCACGCCTATTCAAATCTCTAAGAGATCAAAATGAAGACAAGGTAGCAATGATATACCATAGCTGCCCACTTTCCCCAAGAACTGCTTGTGGAGATTTTTAAGATGGTGTTACCTTTTATAATACATTTTCTGTAAATATAAAACTGGTCTGTTTACAAAAATTATTAATATACACATCCGTAAAGTATCACATTTATATATTTTATAGATGTTATATAAAATAGTTATGCCTAATTTGGGGATTTTTAAGCAGTAAATTTACATTCCTGTTTGGTGCAAACATATTCAGGGAGTAAAACATATGCTTCTTTCAGTCATTTTGGGCGCTCAAATTTATTATTTTATCAAGAGCCTTTTGGAGTTCATCCTGTTCCAAAACAGAAATTCCTCTTTTATGGTACCACTGTTATTTTTTAAAAATTCAGTATTCATTTTTCTCTTTTCTAATAAATTTTAAGTGTACATGTTTTGCTGTTATATGCTTTAAAGGTGTAATGAAAACAGCAGCACATTTCTCAAACTGATGGTAAAATTAGAAGTTCACTGATTTATATTACTCTGAGAATATATGTAAAGAGTACCATAGTTTATATAACAAGAATTTCTGTTTCAGTGAGAAAACATGAATATCAATATATACAAGTACATGCCACTTATATGTATCATATTGTTTAGCGATAATAAAATACCTTTTTAACATTAAGTTTTATATAAAACAACCTTTAAAGTAAAATCTTACAAGTTTAGCTTCTAAGCAAGCAGTATTATGACAAGTCAAAAAGAGTTCAGTTTCATTTGGGGCTGCATTTCAAAGCACATTCATGCTTTTTAGGGCAACAATACAGAATTTTGAATCGCTAGTATTAACAACATTTTCCAAGTGCACACCTACTGCGCGCGCGCGCACACACACACACACACACACACACACATTTATTCTCATTCTTTTTAACCCTCACCCAATATGCTTACTGATTTGGGTTGGGTGGAGAGAGAGAATTGATTGGTCGCCTTCCATACAAGCCGCAACCAAGGATTGAACCTGCAACCTAGGTACGTGCACTCACCCGAATCAAACCTGCAGCTTTTCAGGATACAGGACAACGTTCCCACCAACTGAGCCACACCAGCCAGCACTAAGCCCATTCTTATTCCCACTATACCCCTCCCCACCTTCCTCTCTCCCCGTCTCATTCTTTCCATATATAGAAATATAGCCACGTAGAGAGACAGTACATAGTAAACAATAGACACTAAAAATTGGTTGTGGAATTTAATAAAATACATAAAAATCATAAAAACACTTACTTCATCAGCTACCATGCACCTGGAAAAATAAAAAATAAAACCAAATTAATTTCTTGATTATCCGTCAACCATTTTAAAAGTACTGATTAAGTAGCTTGCCACAAAATAGTTTACAAATGTTAAAGTACTAAGGCAGAGAGAAGTGTTTATAAGTGAGCATGAGAACAGGGGCCAGTGCTGAGACTCTCCAGCTGCCAATGACATATGGCTATGTGGGCATGTCAGAGCTTCAGATGAGCCGTTCCCCACTGTCCACCCATGGGGACAGCTACAGTTAGCCTTCAAAAATGTGAGCAAAATGGGAACAGACTGTACCAATGAGTTCCCTCCTTACCATCAAACCTTAAAATTGGTCTTCCCTAGAGATTAGAAGAACACTGTATTAAAGTGCAAGAAAATAAATGCCAACCATATATCAGTATGTTAGACGTATAATTATATGTGCTACATTATATACACTAAATCTATTTTCAAGATGAATTTTGATTTCCACTATTATTTTGCTAAATTTTCTATCCTTTCTTATTATCCTATAGGAGCAAATTCTATTCACTAGAAATTGAGGTTAGGAGCATAAACTGAGCAAAAGAAAAAGCAAAGAACAAAAAAGAAAAAACAGGTATGGTCAGGATCACGAGAGGTCCCTTAGAGACAGTGAGTACACTATTGATAAAAACAATCTCTTAAAAAAGTTTTCCAGGCAAACTAAAAAAACTGAAATGTTACAAAAGATTGAAAAGACTAAAGTCCCTATTTCTGTTATTTTCTTCCTTTTATTCCCAATGGTCTTGACATTATATAATTTTATAAGGTTTCTTTTAACATAAAACACAAAATTAAGAATTTGACAATAAATATGTTATTAAGGAATAAGTTATAGGTAAAATAGAATTTTGTTCTTAAAAAGAAAAAACATGTCAGTTTACTTAATAAGTATTTTTTATGGGAAAATAAAGTACAAATACTTTAACTGAAATTTAAGGCATATGCAAGAGTAAAGAATTTATAACACTTTTGCAAACAAGCCTAAAAAGTAGAAATGGGAAAGCAATACTTTGAGAATTGTGATTTATTTCTAGGAAAACTCATGTGTCTGGCTACTTTTTCATTTTAAAATTCAATTCAAATTTGGTAAAGATGTCACTTGAAGTATATATTATTTATTGAATGTCTACTATGTACCCAGCTCTGTTCTAAGTGTGGGGATGTGGCAGTGAACTAAACAGTCTTTCCCTCATAGAGGGAGACTGGAAGAAGACAGTAAACCAGCACATGACTCCAGCGGTGATTAAGTCCTATTAAAAAATCTAAAACAGGGTAAGGTAAAACAGGGAATGTAGGGGAGAATTTATTTTATGGAGTGGTCAGGAAGAATCTTTATGATTAGGCAATTTGGACGGATTTGAACAAGACATAAATTTAATGAGGAAGGGAATTATAAGAAAATCGGGAGGAAAAATATTCTCAACAGTGATCAGCAAGTCCAAGGACGCTGAGATAAATCGTTACGATGTAATATAAAATGGACAAGGAAGCTAATATGACTGAAGTGCAGCGAGAACATGGAAAATGGTAACAATGATGATGATGATGATGATGATGATAAGGTTGGAAGGCAGCTAGGCTCTGACCATGGAGAACCTTACAAGCAATGGCATAGGGTTTGAATTTTCTTTGAATCCTTTGGAAGGAAGCAGCATATTTCCTTTTAAAAAGATTACTCTGGTTTATAAAGAATAAACTGTGGAAGGCAAGGGCAGAAGCACCGAGAGCAGTGAGGAGGCACCTGCAGTGGACCAGGAGAGAAACAACTATGTTTGGATGAGCGGCAGAGCTGCAAGTGGTGTGAAGTGGTCAGTTTAGGTGCTTTCAGAAAGTGCGGCCAATAGGGTTTGATGATCAGCGGGGATGTGAATGTGAAAATAAGAAAGGGGAGCCAGGAATGAATCTGAAGATACTGACTTGAGCAAATAACTGTGAAAATGGTGGTGATGCCATTCCCCGAGAAGGAAAGGCTGGAAGCGGGGTAGGTCTGGGGACAACAATCAAACCCTCGGCTGGGCCCTGTTGGAGTGTCGGCTCAGTTGGAGGGTCGCCCCGTACCCCAAAAGGCTGCGCACTCGGGCAGGGCACGCACCTAGGTTGCGAGTTGGATCCCAGTCGGCGTGTGTGCGGGAGGCAGCCGGTAGATGTTCTTCTCACATCGAAGTTTCTCTCTCTCTCCCTTCCTCGTCTCTCTAAAATGAATTTAAAAAACACATATCCTCCGGTGGGGATTAAAAATTATATATTTAAATAAATGTTCAGTTTGGACATTAAATTTTGTGGTATCCATCAGATATCCAAGTTGAACTGTTAAGTAGGATATGTGAGTCAGGGGAATGATGGGGACTGCAGATATAAATTTGATAGTCATCAGAATATAAATTGCATTAGAATGAGTGAGGATACGGAGTACTTTGAAATTTGACTGTGGCCTGTTCCCATTTATGTCCAACTCCATGTTCCTTAACTTCTTAAAATTAAGCAGCTGCAGAGACCTGCAGACTGCCGGATTGTGCTTACAGGAGGGTAGCATCAGAGCCAGACGGAACACAGCTAAACCGCCCTGTGAGTGGCTAACCAGCTGCAAAGCAGCACCAGAGCCCTGGACAAACTTAGGGCTGTGGATCACTGGAATAGACTGGCTTTCAGGTGTCTGAAGACCCCAGTGAAGATAGCCTTCCATCCCTCTGAATATGCTGGATTTTCCTAATTGAGACAGGTGGGTCTTCCTACTTTGGAAACTAGGAGAGTTAAAATAGATTAGAGAGCATTAGGCTTCCTTCAGGTAGCTCTAGTGGGCTGGCTCTCCTTAAACTTCAGGCACTATTCCTATTCCAACCTATGGGATCCCTGCTGTTAAGGATAGTTCAGCAACCAGATCTGAGTTTCAATGAGCCATCATAGAAAAAGAAGTGACCATGTGAGAGGCCCCAACATTTGAAAGAGCAAATTAAGAGTAAATAATCAGAACACTTACCTCGCAAATGAAAAGTGCTAGTAAAGAAAGATAAACATCTGCACAAAAACTGAGTGCTTAAATAAATTTAATGCAACACACGCACACACACATGCACACGCACATCCTAAAGCTCAAAGCCACGATTATCAAACAAAAGAAGATGAATTTTTTTTTAAGAAAAGGACAATCATTAATGACATCTAATAAGCAGACTGGAAGATGAAGCATAAGGATATCTCTCAAAGCACAGAGCAGGTTAAATAAATAAAATACTGAAGAAAACAACAAAAGACTTGAAAGACAGATTTAGAAAACTAACATGTGAAAAATTGGTGTTCAAAAGGAGAAAAGACATCATATGAAGTAGAGGCAACAATTAAGTAAATAAAAGAAAATTTCTCTGCGCTGAAGAAACACCTCTGGTAGATAACTGGAAAGAGTAACCAAGTTTCAGGTTGGATTCACATGCATGAATTCAGGGGATAATGTGTACTATAAATGAGGACCCTAGAAGTAGAAGGGGCATATTCTGAAAGCCTGAATGTGCAAAATTGAAGGACGGTAACAAAAAAGAGGGATGCTAAAAGTACAGTAGTCCCCCTTTATCTGTGCGGGATACGTTCCAAGACCCCCGGGGATGCCTGAAACCTCAGATAGTACTGACCCTATATAGGTTTTTACCTATACATACCTATGATAAAGTTCAATTTATAAATTAGGCATAGTAAGAGGTTAACAACAATAACCAATAAAATAAGACAATTCTAACAATATACTGTAATAATAATTATGTGAATGTGGTGCCTCCTTCCCTCTCTCTCTTTCCAGTAGATTTTTCACTCCAAACCTATTCCTGAAATCTGCATAACCACTCCTGTAGGAAATGGCTTAGTGTCACTTGTTTCAGGGGACCCCTTGCTGAAGTCTTCCTATAGGGTCAATGCTTTCTGGAACAACATGTAGCAGTCAGTCAGAACACATTTTCTGTTCATGTTTTCCACCCACTAATTTGATGCCTTTTCCACCCTAACTAAGCACTTATGCACTCTAGCCATAACTTTTGCAGTTTGAGGTGCTACAGCAAAACTAGCACAAATTTCTTTTTCCTTCACAATTTCATGGGTAGAAGATTCATCTTAAATCTTAGCAACCTCAGAATATGATTTTATTTCCTTATTAAGTCAAAACCTTTTCCCTTTTCCCTAAGCACTTAACAAAGGCTTCTCTTTGGCATATCTCAGTTACCAGCATCACTACTCTTGTGCTTATTTTTAGGTAAAATAAGGGTGACTTCAACACAAGCACTGCAATACTGCAAAAGTCGATCTGAAAACCTAGAGGGTTACTAACTGCCAGGTGGCGTGTACACAGTGGATTGGTGGGACAAAGGGATGATTCAGGTCCCAGGTGGGATGGAGTAGGATGGCAGGAGGTTTCATCATACAACTCAGAATGGTGCACAATTTAAAACTTATGAATTGTTTATTACTGGAATTTTCTATTTAATAATTTTGAACTGCAGTTGACTGTCAGGAACCATGAAAAGCAAAACCTGGGATAAGGGGTAGGGACTAATGTATTTACAAAAGTAAATGATAGGCTTGACTTGGCCCATGGGGAGTAATTTGCAAACCCTTGTTTTAAGGGAGTCAGAATTCTCTTTTTAAATGCTGAGTTTTCCTTTAGATCATAATAAAAAATAATGCGCTGTGAATATTCTGGATTATCTGAATAACTACTTTAAAATCAGGTGTGTGTGTATTTGGCATTCTCTCTTGCATTTAGTATTGTATGAGGCATATATTCTCCTCTACACACCCACACCAAATACTTCTTACTGTGGAATGCTGAATGAATAAATATTTTTTAAAATAGTTAGAAGAGAGAAATGTGGAACAGTCATGAGGGAACTGACTTTTTTCTTAGCTCCAAACTTTAAACTTCATTATCGGGTTTTGTTTAATCCTCAACTGAGGATATTTTTTCCACTGCTTTTTCAGAGAATAGAGGAGAGA